TTCGATTACGCTCCCTTCGGAATGAACTATATAAAATGATGAAAGTGCATTAATAGACAAAAATGGTGTTGATACTGTTAACGAGATGCCGTAAATGATGAAAATTTCACTGTATGGATTATATCAGTGAATTAAAAACTGATAATTTCACTGTTTTAATTTAAGCCTTACGTTGTTTGACCGTGAAATACAAGCGTTCACAGTGCTTGAAACCAACTTAATGACGTGACGTCGTAAATGACGTCACCTTGTATAATTATTTGGCGCGCTTTTTCATTTAGTATTAGGTTAAATGTCATTTAAATGTTTATGATATAATACAAAGAAAATTTGTTACACTGAAATAAACAAAGATCCTCTATATATAATATTACTTCAACAACCGGAAATCACGGGATGAAAATGTCGTTGTCTTCAAGTCTGTGTAATATTTTGATATTAAATTATTGTTACAAGTATATTTAAAAAAAGTGTTTTATAACAATGGTTGTTTTCAGCATTTTTGAAAAAATCATTATTACGGCGATTAACGTGGTTTTCATTAGGACGACAATCATCGCATTTTTTAACAATAAACTTTCATTAATCAAATGTTTCATCTATATATAAAGCATCAGATTTCCCTTGTTAATTGTTTTTTATTGTTAAATAACATTATTTTGGACCGCTTTTTCTACAATAAATACCCCTAAGGAACATACAGTAAAAGCATATTAGATAATGTTTGTCTGGGGTTTTGTTTTTCTATAGCACAATTAATTAATTGGCGGAGCGATAAACCGTTAAGCGTCTGGTGGCAGACTATACCTTTACGATACTGTACAAATGTGCCTGTTTTGTTAATGTGTTAAGCGACGATAATTTCCATTACGCCGCCTGTCAATTAAGCTGGCAGGGGTCACATAGATAAGCCAATCAGCGATCGTTATCAGTTTCACCCTAAGATGCCTGCGAAGCCCATCATTTACCTTAGATAAAACAATGGTGCAGAAGTAATTAAGATTGAAATTATTTTTAATTTTATATATCAATTTAAAGCTATTAAATCGTATATTACATTATTAATAAAAAGTTACAAGATATACTGACATATTGACATATCGAGTAAGTTAGTTTATTATACCAAAAGTAAATTGATTTCTACAAATGGAAATAATTAGTTTTGTAGTGGGTACAAAACATTTATCCTGGCTGTAGCACAATGCATTGAAAAATAAAAACGTTTCAATAAATCCACTTTTTTTTGCCATTACCTATTCATTAATCACATTATAAACATATAATAAGGTCCCAGAATATCCAAAAGATATGACATTTTGTAGTTTATAACATATAGCGTCAATAAAAACGCAGCCGTAAAAATGCAAGTGTAATGAGTAAACACAATACAGTGAACGTTGAGAAAACGAGGCGCTGTGAATATCGGAACTCTTTAAATACCGGACAATTAATTTAGTCATTCGTTAAACGATTGCATGAAACATTGACAATACCGGAATCTGTAAAACCCGAGAATTGGACGGTTGAAAGGGGAAGATTAACAGTATGAAGTCAATTATATAGATAATTACCCTGACACAGGGTCTTTCTATTTGAAAAGACCCTGCCTGACAATACCGGACATCGAAGGTGTGAATAACCTTCAATTGTCAATTGTTGTGTGTAAATCGCTAACTGAGCGGGTAACGAAATAGTAATTGTCTGATTTGTTTATTATGTCATTTTTCACAGTTTGATTTACTTTGATTTATATTTCTTTCTTTAAAACATTAAAAATGTGTATTATTTTTTTATATTTCTGTTTAAATAATGACTAAATGACTATGATACTGCATTATCTTTTTCAGAACTTTACAACCTAATCATATATATTGTAAAATATTATTTTGTAAACCCCTTATGTATTTTTTTAATACCTGGTTAAATATAAGATATATTTGAATTGAATTGAATTGAGTTGTTTATTATGTCTCTTTTCACAGTTTGATTTACTGTAAAGCATATATGTTACCGTTTAATAGTTATGCCTAAATGCGCAGGTAAAATCGGTATGAATAAAAACACAGATTTTTTTATAATGCGTTGCTTTTGTATATTAATTTCCGTATGTAGAAATTTATTGACTATTTGTGTAATAAACAAACTTACTCGGTCCCATCAATATGCCAGTTATTTGTAATATAAATTACTAATTAAATAGTTCTAAATTGACATAAAATTAAATAGACAAAAAGCTTTTTTTTTAGGTAAATGGTGGACTTCGCAGCATACTTTAGCGAGAAAAACTGATAACGATCGCTGATTGGGTATCTCCGTGACCCTGTCAGCTTGATTGACAGGCGGCGTTAAGTCAATTTTCAATGACTGCATGTTTATATTTTGATACTTGTTTTTCATCCCTTATTACTTAATCGCTACGTCTTAAAAATCTGAATGACACCGATTAGATTACCATTTGAGCATATTACCGTTTAATCTTATAAATAATGTTTATTTTTGTTTGTTTGTTTTGAAAAATTTTCAGTAATAATTTTTCATCCGACGATGATAACAATAGAAAAATGAAACAATTTCCATAATTGGAATTGGTTGGTTTTATCCATTATATGAACAATATTAAAAATTTATTTTCTATAAGGTTATTATTACAACTAAACGAAGTGATCAAAATATTGTTTGTATTTCGAAAAAAAATATCTTACCGCGGTATTTATATTTATTGAATTCAAATAAGTTATATACTTCAAAACCAGGAGAGCCTTGCCATTTAGCTTGTGAAACTATTTGAATGTCAAAATAGACTGGACGAGACAGAAAATACAGATAGCAGACCGGCGAAGAGTACATCAAAGCATTTTGGATTGTTTTATATTTAAATGAATTTTGGTGATTAAATCGTTACATATGATACTTTCCTGTATTCATTCCCGTCATATTCCAAGATAAAATTTTGTTATAATTATTATTATTATTATTATTATTATTTCTTCTAATTACTATTATTATCATTAGCATTAATACTATTATCATCAATATTATAAATTATTATAATTATTATTATTATCATTGAAATATTATATATATTATAATTATTATTTATCTATTATTATTATTTTTTTTATTATTATTATTACTATTATCACTATTTATTTCTTATTATAATTATTATTATTATAATTATTATTATTTTTATTATTTTTGTTATTAGATCTATTATTTATATATTATTATTATTATTATTTTGTTGCATATTCCCTGTCATTTTATTTGATTTTTGGATTTTATTTTATTCATATATTTTGTATTATATGTTATAAGCGCCACACGTAAAAGATAGAACACTCTCCCATTTGCAAGGAATGGGAATTATCTCCCATTATAAAAAATTGGATTTTATCCCATTTATCAAAATGGGATTTTCTTCCCATTATCAAGATGGGTGATTTCATCCATGGGTGCGTTTCACCCATAATGAAAATGGGAGATTCTAAAAATATTTATATTTCGATCTATATTTTTAGGAAGGAATATCTAAAGTCAAGATTAGTGATTTTTTCTAGAAATAATGGTATATAATTTTTTTTAATTCTCCCGTGATTTTTTTCTCCCATTCTCGTAAAGAGGAAATGAAACCCCACGAAACTCCCACTGGGAGACCAAATCCCCAGTGGGGGAATCGAAAAACCCCATGGGACGGCCAACTTTGAATGTCTCCCCTGCATTTAATTTTAAGGGTATCGTCATTTCAAAGGCCAGGTTTTACTTGACTATATCTCTATTATTGACAGGTCTTTAATTTTTTTCTCTAATCAATTTAAAAAAGGTAGCTGAGTTTGCGAAAAATCCGGATTTGCAAACTTATTCCGGAGGCAAAGTAAAAAAATCCCGTACTTATATATATACATGTATATATCTTCGTATAAGATATTCTCAGAGTGAAAAAAGAAGAAAAAGAAACCACTACCATTAACAACAACAACAACAAACAACCTACAAAAGCAAAGTAAATGTAGTTAAAATGATTCTGTCACAAGCAACCAAGCTTATGTATAGCTTATGCAATATTTATTTTATAATAAAATTTAAAGATATACTATGCTCAAATTTCATACAATGTATTTGAAAATATTTATAATTGCTACACAGTCTCTTTGAAATATAAAATAACTATGTTTTAGCTTCACCCAAAGTAGATACATGTATGTTCTGTTTAAAATTCTACACACTATAGATGGTCACAATATGAATATATAGTATCATTAAAAAAACTGGCAGTTTTTTAAGAAAAGACCAATTTTACTTGACCTGTAATAAGGAACGCAGCTTACAGTACATAATTTATTCATTCTTTTATTCATTTGGAATATTCGATAAGAATTACATAGCTTTAAATAAATTTCTGTGATAAAAATATTTGACGCAAGGATGAGGATAGTATATCTTAAATATAAGAACAACTTATCAAATCAATCAAAATGTCTGGAAAATAATGACATAAAGCACATTTAAAAGCAAAGATTTAAATACAAAAAACAAGATATTGCAAGGTTTGAAAGACTCACATTCTGAGTAGAGAAAAGAACTAATATAGATGTGTGAATAAGTGTTTTCGTTGTTGTTGTTGTTGTTTGTTGTTGTTGTTTTCGTTGTTGTTGTTTTTTAAGGTTAAAGATCAGACGTAAACTAAGGTAGACCTGCCATAGGCACTATTTAGAAAAAAATATATGTCTTTGAAAACATCTAGATATGAGGTTTTAAAAGTAGAAGAAAAAGAAAATAAATAGACTAAAAATGGAACAATACTGCAAAATGAGGAACTACTTTTTATCGAGGTTTTATCCGGAAGTGCATGCTGTTCAGCAAAGGTTTTTACTCTATCAAATGTGGAAAGGCCGCTATAAATCTGTATACATTGCAAGCAATGCATACACAAATTGTAAGTGAATGTTATGATGATGAATCGAATAAAAAGAAACTCGATTATGCAAGTGGTTTACCTGAGGAAGAAGACGGTATCGATAAACTTGACCAGCGTTCAGAAGTTCCGTTTACATTTCTTGCAGAAATGGTAAAGTTAAAGCTGTCATTGCAGGGCGCGTTGTCAAGGCAACCGTACGTTTGATCATGGTCAAATTTAGATTGATATTGTCGTCTGCTACCATTGACAGCGTTTGTTTTGAATGGTAGACTTTCTATTTTCCCGTTCTTTTCTACTTCTACAAGAGGCTGCAACAAACACAATAAGCTTTATTTTCGATTTGATGGAACCTGTTTAAGGATGGTAGTGTTACGGCTGTTTACTACAACGTAGTCAATAGCAACCTTTCGGTTTTTGTATTTTCTGATCGCAGATCAGAAAATTCAATGCTGACATTCAATCTCTGAAACAGAATTTTCACGACAAACCTAACAAGAAGTAGTTCTCAAAACAGCTTAAAACTGAAAGAAATATTTTTATTTTGTTACAAGTATCAAACAAATTTAAAAGTAGCGTTGGCTTATAGAATTGTCAATTCACCAATTACGCGGATGAATATGAAAATGCTATTTTTAGCGATGTCGATTACCGAATACCTCAGAGCGTATTACACTGTCGAGTAGTGGAATATATACATGTCGGACTGTTTTGGGGAATAGATTTACATCAATTTTAGACAACGGGTATCGTGAAGAAAATACCTCGAAATTGATAAGGATTTCCATGGAGCTAAATATAAGATTTATATATCTGTGGGAATGGATATTCTAAAATTAGAATTATTTGATTTTATTCAGGCTGTTTTCGTTAAACATTTTCGTGGTGCAAGGGTAACGCGCTCGTTTAGGGTGTGAGAGGTCTTGGGTTCAAATCCCAGTCGAGGCAACTTTTTTTTATTAAGGAAGTAGCCACGATATGCAAGGATAAAAGGATAAAGTGTGGCTGTCAAAAACAATGAACATAAATGAATTTTGATGCAATTCTAGTCATGCATTGTTCCGTATGTATCAAACTCAAACTGTTAAAGTAAAAAATTCAAACGCAGTCGCTGCGTCTCGGTGCCATGCAAGGTGAATTATAGTATATAAAAATAAATTAATAAAGGAAAATGCATACAGATATACAGTATGAGATCAGAAAATACCACAGAGCTTGCAGCCATTTCATTTAAAAATGTAACAGATCAAACATTATTTGCATCATTTCCAATCTGTAATTTCCATCTCTTTTAGAAAGAAACTTGACAGTTCATACAATGATTGATTGTATGTATAAACAAACATTGATGATCATTTAAACAGCTACTCGATAGGTCACACAATGATTATATGTATAAACAACACCGATGGTCTTTTAAAAGCTACTCGATAGGTGACACAATGATTTAATGTACATGTATAAACAATATTGGTGGTCGTTTAAAAAAGCTACTAGACAAGTGACACAATGATTACTAGTATACAGTAAACTCCGCTTATAACGAACTCACTGGGAAATTCAAAATCTGTTCCTTATATCCGAGGCTCCTTGTAAGCATATAGCGAATTAGTTCCTTGTATCAGGAGTTTTTATAGCAAACAGGTTTACTTATAACGAACTGATTGTTTACCATTGTCCGCCATTTTGAAGAGCATTTGATTAAGAAATATTAGTCATTGATTTCTGTTTTAGACACAGAACCGAGAGCGTACTTTTTGGAATTTAAATAATTGCTATTTCTGTTTTAGTTTTACTCCCTAAACAACATACAATTTGATTGTCAAAGATACTCGACATGTGACAAAAAAGTATTGATGAGTAGCTTCCACCAAATTACAATTTACTCGACAGGTGAAAAAGATAGTATGAATAAACAAAATTGACAGGTTTTTAAAAAACTACTTGACAGATTGCAAAAAGGAAAGAAAAGAAATATAAACAATATCAAGTTACAATATCATCAGCGTCGGTAGCCACGGCTGAAATAAGATAATATTCTACACCATAGGACGATAACCAGTCCTGTATTTACAGAAAAAAACAAGAGAACTTTAGTAATTTTTTATACGTAATAAGAAACAAGATCTTCGTCGTCGTTGTCATCATTTTAGTTTATTGTTTATATAGCACATTCTTCATACAGGATGAAGAAATCGGTCAAAGGGATTAACTTTAATCACGTAACGATTCACTTGTTTGTGAAAACATTATTTTTTCTTTTTGAAAATAAGTGATAGGTCATTTGGCCGCGGCTGCATAAGACAGTCCTGGTTTGGAATACTGCGTAGGGATCTGGATTGTTGTTTGAGGCATAGAACTGTATGGCTTTTTAGATGTAGTTGAGTATCCTTGGCTTTTGCTCAAATCCTGAGCATGTGTTTTATCCTTTTCCGGCCACGGAAGATTTAACCAACAGCGGTTGTTTAATTGCAATTGCGTAGCAAATCCCTGTGATGCATATTTCACGTCAATGTTTCCTTCAAAAGACCACGCTTTTTCAACAGTTGACTTGTCTTTTACACGACAGGATGCCAACATGTCTGCGTTCATTTTCGTCAAATCTTCGTTGACATAAATCTTATGTTCTTTCAGGTGTTTTGACCTGTTGAAAAGTTCGACTTTTGTTTGGCGTCTTACAAATTTAACTATAATTGGCCTATGCTTGCCGACTTTGTATTTTCCAAGTCTGTGGCTGATGTCAATATCTGCTTTCTGCAGAACAAGATCTGATTTGCTTTTTATTGTGTCTAATAATTTTTGCAATCGTCCGTAATGCCAAAGATTCGAACACTATTTCTGCGACTGTATTGTTCGGACTCGTTTTCAAATTTTTCACAGCAAAATTCATCTTTTTTAATTCTTTCGTATAGTGACTGATCTTTTTCTTTGAGTTCATTTATAATTAAATCTTTTGTTCTAGTTTTTCAATTGTCTGAGCTTGTGTATGGACGTCATGTTCGAGAACCTCTACTCTCTTAGTCATTGCACTAAGGAAACTTACTTTCATTTCATTCATTTTATCTTCGATAATTTTCTTTATAAAAGTGGTATCATCTTTTGATAGGAGTGTTGATAATTGAATACTGATGTCTGCCAGCTGCTTTTCAAATTTTGTTTCGTATAAAGTTTCCTTTAAACATGCAGAAGTATTATACACCGAGCTGTCGTCCATAATGCAATTATTTTTGGGCGTGCTATTAGATTGAGGTTTTGGATTACTGTGCTTTACTTTTTAGTTTTAGTCTTTTTACCTTTTTGTTTAAAAACTGGGTAAACAGGTTGATTGTCAATATTGTCACTGGTATCTAATTCACTAGCAGTTGAAGAGCGTTTTCTTGCTTTCATTTGAGCTCATCATGATACATAAATCATTTCAACATAAATCTTCCATAAATATATAAATATCACACTGTTCAACAAAAGCATATTAAAGCCGATAGCGGCTCAGTCATGCGTGACCGCAAATTTTGTCAGGGACGGTAGACCCTCAGGCTATTTTGCGCTCACAAATTGCTCACAAAAAGTCTCTCCACACATTCAATTTCTAAAAGTTCAAGATAACCTCTTTATGCAACATTCAAATTCAAACTTACATATTTTAATAAAATTCCATATCCTTCATGAATGCAACAGTAACTCAATTATACGAATTTAACATTTACATCGCTATAAAAATCGTGAAAGCCTTTAGCCAAAATACAACATTGTTTTGTTTACATTTAACCGGTAGTCACCACCTTTTAACCGAATAGAAAAATATTACCACACATTGATGGACAAAAGATTACTTCACATTGATGGACAAAAGATTACTTCACAATGATGGACAAAAGATAACCTCACATTGATGGACAAAAGATTACTTCACATCGATGGACAAAAGATAACCTCACATCGATGGACAAAAGATTACTTCACATTGATGGACAAAAGATTACTTCACAATGATAGACAAAAGATAACCCCACATCGATGGACAAAAGATTACTTCACATCGATGGACAAAAGATAACCTCACATCGATGGACAAAAGATTACTTCACATCGATGGACAAAAGATAACCTCACATCGATGGACAAAAGATAACCTCACATCGATGGACAAAAGATAACCTCACATTGATGGACAAAAGATAACCTCACATTGATGGACAAAATATTACTTCATATTGATGGACAAAAGATACAGATAGTAGTTTTAACGGTAGAATTTATTTTAACAACACTTATTGTAATAGACTCTCTGGCCTAGTGGATGTTGTTGATGACTGTCACCCAAGAAATCGGAGTTCAAAAACTAGCGTGTGACATGTATTTTTTTGTTTTCTTTTTTTGTCTTTTTAATCATGCATAATGTACTGGTAATAAAACAAACTGAAAAAATAAAATGATTAGATCAACATATTTTTTATTTGAATGAAAATGTAGATATTCTGTGTCTGTGTACAGTGAATTTTAAGCTACAATAACTGCTTGTTGTCCATTGTCAGCATCAATTCTTAACATAGAATATGTTTTAAAAAGGATAGTACTTTCTTGAAGCGATAATAACTTTATCCAATATTTAATCATAATTATTTTCCGTTGAAAATACCCTTCATATGTCTTCACTTTCAAGTCAAAGTATTTTATAGAAGCTAGTAAAAAAAACATTTTCTTTCTTTAGAGATCACATTTTCCCTATTTTTTGCAATGCAACAGAATAATAATTGTTCGTGTATTGCTGAAGCAGTGTTTGATTTATAGCGATGAAGCATGAACATTTTTTTTTAAATTACATGTTTTTGTATCATGGTTCCCAGTAAAGGTTTAACATAGAAGAAAGACTAGTGATGTATACTATTGTTTGTAGAATATTCCATGGCAGAATATATGATTATACAAGCACATGTGCATCCTTTATGAAAATATTTTTGATATTCACGTGACTTACCAAAATATATTCTGAAAAAAAAATGTTTATCTCTTACATAGAAATACATTTCCGTATTTAATGTTTCAAAATAATTTACTATATTATTTACCATACTTAAAATGTTGTCTAATAATTTGGATTGTCGGAATACTGTTACCTTCCAAAATATGCACACACGCCTCTCCTTGTTGTTTCCTTCGCATTCCCTGGGATGCCAGTGGTAACCCCCTTGTATAACTTTTGGACTCGAAGCTGGTTCTTAAAATCACAATTGATTTAAAAGCATTAAAACAGTTATTATGATATACTTTAGCCTCAAAGAATATCAACAGAAACTTGTGTTTCATAGGTATAAGTTTTAGACATAATTACATGCATATAATGATATGTATCGAAGATGTTTGGTAACAGTTTCCAAAGACCTGGCGGAATAGTCACAGAGTGATGAAAATTGCTCATCACTATATAGGACAATTAGAGGACGCCGTGCAGCTAAATAACCCCCTGTATGAATAAGTATACAAAAGGGTATACACTATGTTTAAATTTTTATTACAAAAATCTGAAAAGTCTTTTAAGCCAGAAGCGGCAGAATTTGCCAATCTTTGAATTTGGTACAGTCTATTTTAAAGCTTTGTTAGACTGCACGACGGATCTACAGACTAATCTGGTACTATATGTTAGTGGCAATGGAATCCAACAGACTAAGGGATAAGATGAAAACATATTTACTATCAGTATACGTAAACGCGACAACCGATTTCGGATCACTATTGTAACCGGATTGGTTCCCTATTGGAAGTGTGCTGACAGTGACAGTGTAGCTCGTGTAGGGGTGAAGGCCACATAGTCTTCTCGTTTGTGTCTGCTGCTCGGTAATAGACGTGGTGTTAAAATGAAACTCCTATAATGTAAGTTTAAAGCTTGGCACATATTCAGAATAATTTCAAACATGTATATACATGTTTTAGAAAGTCTTCACTATTTCAGCCGATTTGATACCGGATAACCTGTATTTCAACCGAAATGAAACCGGATTACCGATATTTCATCCGAAGTTAAACCGGATTTCCGGTATTTCAACCGAGATGAAAACCGGATTACCGTTATTTCAACCGAGGTGATACCGGATTACCGTTATTTCAACCGAGGTGAGCACGGAGTATCGGTATTTCAACCTAGGTGAAACCGGACTTCTGCAAGTTCTGGTATTTCTACCTTATTGATACCGGATAATGAAAATATATCTAAATAGATTTCAGAATTGCAAACTTTCTCAAGTTTTTATCTGTTTGTAGTTTTGAAAATGAATCCACATGTATTGTCAGTGAAAAAGAACTAAATTGAAAATTTAATTATATTCAATATGGATCTGTATTCACATGAACACCATGGGAGGTAACTAGAATCATATTTTAAGACTTGTAACTTACCCAGTCATCTTTCCATCGGCCGGATACTTTGACAGTATGTCTTTTCGGATATGTCTTGTCAGCTGATTGCCATTTTATCTCAATACATGTGCTACTTTTGACATTACTTGAAAATTCCACAACAGGGTTCGGCTTGACTAATAATATAAAATTGTTTTGTTAAAGTTTGATACATTGTTAGTGACGCATCGTCTAAGCAATTACATGTATCAAAATTTCACATAACCATGTAAGACAATGCTTTGTCTAGAGGTTTATTTGTAAACTTTTTGACAAACATTTTTTTCTGTAAATGCAAAGCTTCCAGATAAATAAAATAGAGCCGCATTCCTTGATTGTTGCTTCGTCTTTTATATCTTTATATTCATATTAATTTTCATTCACTATAACTTAGTTAGAAAATAGGATTTGAAAATACCACGTGTTACTAATAACTCGTCATTAACATGTTGGTTTGCATGGTTGTGTTTTAAATCGCGCCAAAACTGCATCTGATGGAAGCCTCGTTCACGTGTAAATTATTTTATGCACAATCATTCACCTGAGTAAAACCACCGACGTTCATTTAGCTAGCTGGATAGGTTTTCCAAAGTCCCTTGTGGGAGTCAAACCAACAGCGGAGAGGGGCAAGCGATTTCAAGTCAAGAACGAACTTTTACTTCTATGCCACGGACGTCCCTCGTTTACAAATTCGATCATTTAATCATTTATCAGACGAAAACAAACTTACAAGATTCGTAACATTGTTTGTTATCTAAAAACAAGCTTTTTTCGAATTTACCTATTTTGGAAGTATCTGTTAAAAAATGCGACTCTGCGCTTTTTCCACATGTTTGTTCCAAACTAACTTTCATTTGAATCTCTCTAAACGTGAAGTCAGGTTCAGTGTTTTCCCAAAAGCAAATGCCGTTTTCTATGTCAAGATATGGACAGTGCATCCAAGGTGAATCACCGCTTTTCCTGGGAACAGATTAATCATCAAGATGGGTAAGCACCACCATTAACACCATTTACAATACAATACAATAAAACACAATACAATACAATGAAATGCAATGCAATACAATACAGTACAATATACAACACAAAACAAAACAACACAATACAATACAACACGACACGACACGATACGACACGACACAATACAATACAGTACAACACAAAACAAAACAGCATATTTGTTTTACACATAATACAATGTTTCTAGCATATTATGTATAGGCAGTTAACATACATAAAAGAAGTTCAACATTGGAATTAATATCTTTTTATGTTTCACTAAATACGCAGTAAAATTGTGCAATCCAAATTTAGTTTGGCCATAAAATATACTATTGTTTATTCCACACAAACCCTCACATAAGTAATACGTGTAATACAAAATATTCTCTTCTTTCAATATGAGATCAAAAAATAAATCACTGACTCATATATTGAATATTGAAACTTCTGTCACTGATAAATTAGAAAAAAAGAGAGAGAAAAAACAAAACAAAATACAAATACTTTACCATAGAAGTGTCACTTCCGGTTCTTTAAATCTTTCATAAATTTTCCCATAACTCCACGAACAGTTCAGTGATCTGTCATAGTTTTCGACCAGGCAACTAAAGTTTTGAACTTCAATTGGTAAAGCTGAAAAACGTAAACGATTTTCATTATATTACTTATCTGTATATATTCGGCAACATAACGCTCGTTCCTTCTGTTGTATTACGTGTCAACATTATCAATGTACGACTCCGCAGAAAGAAAGAAGATCTGCTGCTTAACACGACCCCGCAGAAACAAATCTGTTCCGCAGAAAAAAAAAATCCGTTTTGTGAGAAAGCAAGTGTAAGCTAAGTTAAAATGTGATAAAAGGTCTATTGGAGTAGGGCTTCTTTTGTGAATTCTAGGCAATCTTTGTTTCACTGAGACTTTATGGTAAATGGAATTTATTTAATTCAAGTGTAAATCACATCAAGGCAAACAATATAAATATATCTCAGATCTTTGATGTTTTACAATGTATTCATTAACTCTTTAATTAATTTTAAACATTAACGCTTTGACTTCAAATTTGCAGCGCGGTGAGATACGATATATTGAGGTTCACTATGGTTTGATACAGTCCGGGAGGTCTTAAAGGGTGAATAAAAAAGTTTTAACTAGGCCAAAGATCTTCCCTTGTTCCAGCAACAACGATGAAGGTAGGTTTTTTAGTGATATCATAAGATTTAAAGTCCCACGCTCTACACCAGGACTGCTTTCATAGAATCTTAAGACCAAAACTGAGACAAATTTGCGTTTCAAAGAAAATCACCCATCTTATGACTTCTATGCCATCATTCTTTTTATTTCCGAATAGCAATGGTCATATAATCATTGTAATAAAAGGGTATTTCATTGTATTATTTTACGTTTCTCATGAGAATGAATTTATTTATAGTTTACAGTATTTGACTGAAGATAAAAATATCTATTGAAACGTCTGAAGATAGGTCTAAAGTTGGTTCTGTCCTGTGACTTAGGATACACTTAGGACTTTCTATAAAACGCAGCCCTGGTATGTAAAAGAACCAAGATCGCCGTTTAAAAATGGCGCATTTTATGTATCCATTCACAATCCTGAAAAAACAACTACCTCTTGCAGATGTGAGACACCGAAATGCGACAGCTATAAATTAATTGATAATTGATTGAAAGCAGTTCCTTAAAGCTTAACGTTTGATTGTGGGCTTTCTGGCTGACGTAATTAATGACGTAATTAATGCATAACCGCAGCAACCCAAGAAGTAACAATGTTGGTTGTCGGCCCGTAGTTGATGTCCTTCAGGAGTTTTTTTAACCATGGACACATACGTTCTGCAAGGCGCTACGACATCAACGTTAGGTCTAATTTAGGCTTGACAGAATCTGTTTGAATACGTTGCATGCTTTGTAGCAATATTCCTTTCATTATTCGAGAAAAAATACTGAACTTTTTAAGGAAGTAACCGCTGCGAGGAGTTTGACTTTGCAAAACGCGGTCGAATCCTGTGCGCATTAGAAGATCCACTTCTTTACTAGAACTACCGTTCTACCGTTCAGGGCTACATTTTTAAAAGGTGCACGTGATAAAACTTAATACTGCCTAACAAATCTTGATTATGGAGGCAAAGTGGTCAAATTCCACGTTGCCAAACAAGGCTTCTGTGTCTGTCGGGGACATAACGTAAACATAATATAAACAATATAATAAGTGAAAAATACCGGTGTGTGAGGAATTGTTAACTGTGAAATATTAATCATAACTTTACATTATGAATAATCTATAGTAAGTTTCAGTCTTAAGAGACTAAAGGCAAAGTGGAAGATGCTTTTTTTTATAAATTGAGCCGTGCCATGACAAAACCAACATAATGGGTTTGCGACCAGCATGGATCCAGACCAGCCTGCGCATCCGCTCAGTATGATCAGGATCCATGCTGTTCGCTATCAGTTTCTCTACTTGTAATAGAGTTGGTTAGCGAACAGCATGGATCCTGATCAGACTGCGCGGATGCGCAGGCTGGTCTGGATCCATGCTGGTCGCAAACGCACTATGTTGGTTTTGTCGTTACGCGGCTCAATTTATATCTATTCAGTCGACTTAAACTATTGGGTTTAATACGTGAAATGTTCTTTTTTCTAAATGCTACAGAATGTATTTAATTTATGTAGGAAACTATCAACTTAAGAATATAATTATTCTCAAATCATTTCCTGGAACCAGCTAGTATTAAGCAATGAGTCTCAAGGAAACCACGACTTGCCCCATAACGGGTCTTGAACCACAGCCAGCAATCGTCAAGTGATTGTGTAAATATGATAACTGAAACACTAGCTGCACATTTACCCTGCTGGAACCGAAATAAATTATCTGGTGCAGAGCCAAGTCAGGCTGCACATCATATCTTGTTCTGTACTGGTGACTGGCCAATTTTATAAATTTCTGCCTTAATATTCCCAGACAAATAATGGACAATTCAAACTTAATGAAGTTTTATTGCACTTGAAGTTTTTCTATGGTACATGTATGTCAAGCCGAGTACGAAAATGCTTAATTTGACAAATATGCCCCCAGGTTAATATCCGCAAACAAAGTGTGAAATATATGGCAAATGAAACGTTTATGAAACGTTCATGTTAAATTACTTAATCATATCTGAAAATGAAATGAAAAGTAGAAAATAATGTAAACTCAAGATTTTGCTATATATTATATAAGATCTCTCCAAATTTGCTAAAATAAACTTAAAAGGACGAAAACTTATATCCAAATTGGTTTGCGTAATTACAATTGTATATAAACTATTTTTTACTGTTTTCATAGCAAAATGGCCTTCTTATTACTAACAATAAGAAATGGCATTTATTTTTGCTGTCCACCCTTTGAAAAAGGAGGTGGACACATGTTTGTTCCCTTTTCGAATGAAAAGGGGATTCTTGTGATGCGTGTATGTGGTCGCACGGTCACTTTCCTTCCAATATGACCTCGATGCGTGTATGTGGTCGCACGATCGAAAATCTATTAAATAATGCAAAATTTTAATATTCTTAAAAACCACTAACTCTTGTCCAACTATATGTATATTATATACAGCCCTACATAACTTTTTCAAACTTCTAATAAGGAGTTACTTTCGTCTGTTTTAGCATTAAGTACTCCTAAGTGGTACTCTATTTTTAATACTTAAACTATAACTAAAGGCCTACTTATGTTTTCCTTAAAATAAGGAGTTGAACCTAATTCTGTCTATGTATCGTTTAACTGTAGTTGTCATGGGTAAGTTATTTCCCCTGGACCTCATAATTAGAATTTTTAAAAGACTAATCTATAAAGTCGTAATTAGGATTTTATATCACCTGCTAAGATGTGTCAAAGTACATACTATAAATTCATTTCTGCCAATTTGTCTTTTTTTAATATAATAATTAGGAATTTGCAATTCTTTTCTCCAATTACCAGTTTATTTTTGATAATTAGACGTTTAAGCGGCCTAATTAAAAGATCCTATTAGGTTTATTCTCAAAGGGAAATTAGTCAAAAGATATTTAATGCTCCAAATTAGGCCTTTTAAACTCTTGATGTGTATAGTTGGCTCAAAATGCTTCTTCGTGATTCTACAGGAGAAATTTGTATTAAGCTTCTCAGCAGTGCATTTTTTAACCATTGCTAATCTCCTCTTATTCCTTACACCTTATGATAATGTTTGGCACATGTCTTATATGAGTAAACGTGAAATTAAACTATAAAAAACACACACAAAAAAGACAAAAACAAAACAAGAAAACCTCACGTTACGATATTACTGATTGACTGAAAGTTTACAGGGGTACAAGATGATCTAAAACTCACCCCCCCCCCTCCAACCCCACCCCATCCTCCCAAAATATAATCAATTAATAAAAAGAAAATAAATGTTTCTGCTAAATCACTCACGGTACACATTCAAAATAGAGCTAGCTTCTGTGAGCATGTCACAAATTTCGTCGGTGTTGTCAAGAATACAGCAAACTGCCACGTGATCATGTTTACCGGAAACGTTGAACAGCGTTATTTCAGCCGTACCGTAATCTACTAGATGCGTACTGGTACTGGCAACTAAAGATTCCGAAGATAACACTGGTTTTATTTGATTTTTAGCGTTAGTTGTAGTCTCTAAAGAACATGTAAATGTGATATTGTCCCCGGTACACACGGCTGGATCAGTCGGAAGTATGTTTATTCTTTGTGCTGACGCTGAAATATATAGAGGATATTGAATTAATGTAGGGTCAATACTGAATTTATTGAACGGAATAATTAAAAATATAATGCGAGCGTCCACGAATAATTATGAGGTTATTATTGTTGAGTACAATACTGAATTCTATTGGAAGAGTACACATCTATTAAAATTATATTGGACGGGGCGCTAAGCATATAGGTTATGCAGCGGTGTACGAGTCCAATAGAATCAGTTTTTTTCATAACCATGTTTAATGACCTCGATCTTTACTTCACACAACCATTTTTTGGACACAAAGACATGTGCTTCAATTACAATAAGGATTTGATATGGATTTTGGACACTCAAAAATAAAAACGAGGCTAGATGTGGTGTGACATAGATTTGACATGAGCCTTTTGGACTCTGGAAATGAAAGCGAGGCTAAATTACTAAGATTGGATCTAATAATGATTTCTGTTGGAACATCACGTGGTACAAATGCTGAAAATACGTTGGTTATATTTCATAAGGTGTAAAATAATATAATATTATTCTATTTATCACATACATGTAAATTAAAAAGAACCCTTTTCAGTTAATTTTTTTTCTATTGACATTTTGGGCACTTTTGTTTAGCTCAAAGGACGTCATTGTCTTCAGCATACCCGTATTAGGTTAAAACACTCAAGATATTACTTGTACTAGAAAATGCCTCTAGCATTCATATTTTCTAAAAAATAATTTCTGTCTCTACCGCCTCCGTGGTCGAGGGGTTAGAGTCCAGTTACCTCTCTGGTGTGGGTTTGATCCCCGGGAGATGCTTTGGTAGTTTAGCACGGAGGAAGGTAGTCTAGTACTGGTGTAACTCTCCAGGAACGATGGTTAAGAAACTACCCGCCTATATGACTGAAATACTGTTGGGAAAAGGCGTAAAATGAAACAAACAAACTAACATTCCTGTCTATCATCTTGAGCATAATTATATAGTTTCCGTTTGAAATGAGGGCATTTCGTTATGTCAGACCGACCCACTACTGACCCACTGTTGGCACTCATTATTTCATGCTTTCCAGTGTTTTATTGTAATATATCAGATGATTATATTCTGATAAACCACTAGTGAAATTTATAAAATATAATTTTCACTGTAGCCGGACTATATCTGAATGCGAATGAAAAGAAAATTAAACTAAATGGAAAAACAGACAGAAATAAATGCCGTCATACGTAAATTTTGCTTCTTTAGGAAAAGAAAGTTGATGTCACCATTCATCATGTTAAAAATGTAACAAAATTAGAGAAATTTAACAGAACTATATTTCAAAATTGATGATGTGACGTCATGATGTGATGACGTCACAAAGGAGAATGCGCGACGTTACGCGGCAAAATCAGTAAAAAATACTTAAAATCACTTAAAAAGCATGAAATAAAGAGAAAATTTATTTGTTTTACATATAAGATTGAAATATTTTTCATTCGTGAACACCAGCTATTATATTTTCACTCGTGGCTACGCCACTCGTGAAAATATTGCATCTGGTGTTCACTCAGTGAAATTATATTTCAATCTTAAATGCAAAACAAACAAATATCCTCTATATAAAAGAGTGGCTGCTTACATAAAAACAATCAAAACTGTATTTTTGTTTATTATTTCAGCCGCAAAATTTTTTAAATAAATTTTCACTTTTTAACATTTATGCGAACTGTTGCGTTTTAAATTAACAATTTGAGGTGACAAGCGTCTTTCCCCTTTGTCAAACTTTAGCCTTGATATTACATTTGCAGAAAACTTAAAATTAGATCATTATTTTTTATCAATTTATGTTTATGCATCGTTATGAAAATGTATATCATACCTCATTTACCCTCGTTATGATTTTTAGAATCCGAAATTCATATTAAAACTATTGTACTCAAAGCAACAAACCCCTGTCAAAATGTCAAAAAGGGTGGTGTACAATTTGGTGTAATAATGCATTGTTGAGTTGAGTACAATACTGATCCTATTGGACTCGTACACAGCTTCAAAGCCTATATCAGACTCGCGTTACACCCAATCTACATTTTTTGTGTAATTAAAATCAACTCCTAACTAACGCTACGCATTAGGGGAGAAATAACTTGAGTATATCTGAACTTTGGACAGATTGGCGTTGCACCTCGTCCAATAAAGGTTTGATCGCTGTGCTGTCGTCCAATAGAATTCCGTCTTGTACTCAATAATGTATAAAAACTTTATATTATTAGCCGATTCATGGAAGGGTCATACATGTCAACAATCCAATACACGATATAATGGACATACAAATAATTCCCATATTGTATGCAGAAAATGAGCTTTGGTAAAAATGCCAATAACTGATTTCAAAATAAACGACATTTTACCCTTTAAATACTGGGTCTCATTTTAAATAAACGACAGATAAAAATTATCGGTTTTGAAACACTTAACCTTTAACATACATAACAATGTAATGTCTGTGTAAATACTTAATATGAGATATAAATGCGACAATTGTTGCCAATTGGTTTTACATTTCGTTACAAACCAAAATTGTTCTTACATTGTATGTTTGTTTACCAACCAACTTGTTTTTTTTAACATCTTACGCTTGTTTACAAACCAAAATTGCTTTAACATTTTATGTTGTTTACTGTATTCACATTTTTTGTTTAGTGTATTCACATTTTATGTATGTTAACAAACCATTTTTTTACATTTTATGTTTGTTTACAAACTAAAATTGCTTTTACATGTTACGTTTGTTTAAAAACAAAACAAAAATTTAAGTTTGTTTACAAACCAAATTGATTTTTACATTTTATGTTTGTTTACAAACCTAGAAGAAAAGGGCAATATCGAGAATCATTATAATTATCGTGCAATGAAATACATGTAATATTGAAGACACTCATATATTTTTTAATTTTTCATAAATCGGTCGTGATTAAGAACTATGCAATTTCACACTTACAGATATACAGAAGATATCATATTTTGTTATATGATTTCATGTAAAATCAAATGACGGATAAGGGCAGCCAATTTTAACTCGAGGATCATTAGTTGATTAGTTGGATTTCGATAATGAAATACAAAATATAAGCTATAAAAGATAAGGAGCTTGGTCAGACGGCACGACTTGGCTCTAATCTGGTGCTAAAAGTCAAATCATTTTGGGTTCGAGCAGATGACTGATTAAAAGTCCAAATGTTTTAAATAGTCAGTGCCCCGTTAGATGCATTTATTTATTCATATGCAAAATACTTACCAGTGGTAAAACTGGAAATGCAGTTGCAGACGACAACATAAATGAATAAACACAGCGTTACATGATGTGTTATTTGTATGTTTGTGCCAGCCATGTTGGTATCTGCAAGGGTACAATCATGTGTCATCTATATCCCATGATTTTTGAAAATGCTGAAAAAAAGTTTATGCTAAGACAATAATGGAAAATGTTAATTAGAAAATATTTTATTTACACACTTCACGGATGTTGATAAATGAATGAGATATTTTAATTTGTTTATTTGTATATATTCGTACATGAATATCTAATTTTCAGACTGAGTTAGAAGTATTTTGTTGCAATGTATCGTTTGTATATTTTAGTGAATTTATTAAAGCTACATGCCTCCAGATGAGCTGAAATATTTTTTTTTTTAAATCAAATTTTAGAAACGTGTACTAAGATTTAAGGAAGGGTAATAAGAGTCAAGATTCAAATAATAATGCATATGCTATGTGCGGTTAATGACTGATTTTTTCAGTATTTACAACTATATTTCTACTGCGTTACTAACGCATTAAGAGCTATTTTTTCATATTTTGACCTGTTTTGGTAGTTTACGTACATTACAAGTGTCATTGATAATGTATAAATTACTTCCTTTTGGTTACTTCACAATAATATACTTTTAAATAGATTTTTAAAATTTTCATGAAAATTATCATGAGTCTTGAGGCGTGCTGCTTTAAAAAACCCTTAAAACTGGGTAATTCATACTAATGTTTTGTATTATTAAAACAACCCTTTCTGACGGAGCGTTCTACCTCATATCACCATGGTTACAGCAAAACCAACGCTCTTTGAATGTTCCAAAACAATCACCGAGCATATCAATTTTCACATACTGTTACAACACTTAAATCTCAATTTTAACAAAATTGCAAAAAAGGAATAAAAGCTCTGACAAAAGCCTTGTCAGTACAATAAGACAATTATGCGATAAGCTGTAGCTGTAGCATGTAGATGCTATGCAAAATATAACTTAAAAAATGTGTTATTTACCGTCTTTATATTGGTAAAGTGTTCTATTCCGTCTTTATATCGTCAAAAATCTTACAATAATGATAAATATAACGAAATTCCAAAATAATAAATAAATAAATACCTTCTTAATCTCCACAAGGAAGCGCTTTCGTCCGCACAATACTGCTTAATTCCAAACGAATATCTTAAAAAAATGCAACCCAGTTTGAAAGTAAGTAAGGTTATAAAAATGTTGATCGGGTTATCTTGTATAAGGAGCGGATGTGAACGATGATTATGGTACATTTAACAATTATCAATTTTTCAAGTCTCTACTATCATTGGCAAACATAAATTATCAGTCACCGTCATGATTTTTCGCATAATTTATTTGTTTTGTTCTCGTACAATTTGCAGAATCTCTTGGTGGCGTCAATGTTAATAGCCTCTGCAGTGTTTCCTTGTATTTTTATAGCATATTAAGTGTAACAAAGCGGTATAGTGTAAATCGCTCTTTTTCTTCTTCCGAGCTTGTGCATGTCGTCGAATTTAAGTGTCAAGAAAGATATAATGTTGAAGAAATAATATATCCCCGACAGTGATTTTATTGCTTTATAAAATTACTTTTGTTCGAATGCGAGGAATTAAATCAGGAAGACGTACATCTGAGCGATCAATTAGATGGTGAAACAGTCCATTTCATCGCTAAATTCGCTAACTAGGAAACGTTGTGGTGTCGTTATATGTCGCAACGCCACTAAATGTCACACTTGCCGCTAAATGTCGCACCATTGCCACTAAATGTCGCAACTGCAACGTTAAATGTCGCACGATTTTTCCTTACCGTTAAATGTCGTTACACTACCGTTTATTGTCGCAAAATGTATTTTCACATAAAATTAAGATTGCTTATGGTATTATATTACAATAAATAGATTAAAGTATAGTATAGAAACACGCTCCATGTTAGGTGCATATAATAATCATATGTTAAGTATTTACTTACCATCAACGCTGTGGGTTCGAATCCCGGTGGTGGTGTTGGTAGTTTTCACTCTGGATCACGGCAGGAAGCCACACTTAATTTACCAGAGCACAGTTCAGTCACCTCTTCGTTCCTTGACAGACTGTCAGACAGTTTACTAGTACTAGTAACCTTTACTTTCGCAAGGAACTGAAACTTCTGTACATGAAAGTGCAGAGGTACAGTGCGTATGACCGTAGAAAGGATTTCATGATCAATCACAACGAAAGTGACCAGCGCCGACCGGGAATCGAACACGGGTCGCCCGATTTACAGTCCAATGTTCTACCTATTGAGCTAACTGGACAGCTCAGTTTCGAATCTCGCAAGAGACTTAGTCTTTAATATGAGGAAAATACTCTTTCTAGTATACGGAACGTCGCATGTTTTATTCAGGTTCCCGTTCGTGCCTGAAATAATGCACGGAGAGGCAGCCGAGGTCTTTCTTCACAAGTACAGCTTAAAGGTCACTATATGTTCTTACATTTTTAACATGACTTGTTAGTAAAATCTTGTACAATCATCAGCTCGCCAGGTGAGACCAATAATTGAAATGTCTGCCATTCTCCTTCGATTTTCTAGATGATTTAGAGAAGTTCAAAAGCATAAACTGGTCATGATAATGCCTTTTTATCGGCAGTGAAAGAAAAGAAAGAAAGTGTAAAACTAATCAGCTTTGTTTGCACCCATGAAATTTATAAAACTAATCCAATTGTGACAAAATAATGAAGCTAGAAAGAATATACATATAATACCTATAAAACATGCTTGTAGATGAAAAAAAAATAGTGATCTAAAATTAAATTTTAATTGAACCTTTCTGGGATAATCCTCAAGCTTGAACTCACAACATCTTGGTTGTTAAATGAAAAAAGTATAGAAATGTTTTTTGTCACCAAGGGGTCCTTTGGCATATATAATGGTCGTCAATTTATAATACCGACAAAGATTACTAAAATTTAAATCAATAGTTTAGACATCACAGCAAATCTTTTCCTACCTGAGAGAAAGCTGGCCCCTGGTGCATAAAATACCGGATGACACCTTTAAAGCGGAAAAATGAACGATTTTTTAACGGCTTAATTTCATATTATTGAAATAAAACCAGTTTTTGTACATGAATTTAGATATTGCGACATTTGACGGTGGTGTTGCGACATTTAACGGTCGGGGAAAATCGTGCGACATTTAACGTTACAATTGCGGCATTTAACGGTAGAAAAATTTGCGACATATAGCGGTGGTTGCGACATTTAGCGGCAATGGTGCTATATTTAGCGACAAGTGTCATATTTAGCGGCGATGTGACATATAACGATGCCACAAACGCTGCCAAAACTATTGTTATAATTTACAAACTTTCCATTCCGTTGATACTTTAATCAAATCCACATCGTATTGCATTCTTCGATTTTCTATATTCGATATAAAGTTTACCAAAAATATATTATATGACTATATCACGGTGCATATCCATATCGGTACCCTCTTTGCGAAATCTGCTGAAACGGTACCCTCTCTGAACATGCACAGGTATTCTCTGCTAAAAACAAACCAGCGATGGATACCAATCCAGTAAAATTTCATTGTAATAAGGAAAGGAGGTATGTCACGTAGAAAAGATGTATACCACGGAACACTAGGATGTTTTATTTATGTGCTGATTTGTCATGTGCCCGATTTTCATGTACTGCAACTTAACAATAAGCTACAAAAAATCGACATGTCTTGCTTCGCCCATCACCTCGACATATTTTTCGGGCTATCACAGGTACCCTCTCATTATTTAACACATGGGTACCCTCAAAGCACGACATATGCTTTTATTTTCGTTAATCGTTAAGTATGTAATATTTACATAAAAGTAAAAAGTATTACATACACACTTAACGAATTACGCAAATAAAAGTATATGTCGTGCTTTGAGGGTTCCTATGTGTTCAATAATGAGAGGGTACCTGTGATATAAAAATTCAAATGAAGAGAGGTAGCCCGTGCCGCTGCAAAACCGAAAGTAGGGTGTTTTTTATGAATTTTACATTTATTTTTGACAATATACTGCCATTTGTCCAAAGATGATATGAATATGAACATATTAAATATGTATGATGCATAAATAATCAAGCTATAGGTTCATTTCAGCCCGAAAAAATATGTCGAGGTGATGGGCGAAGCAGGACATGTCGATTTTTTGAAGCTTATTGTGAAGTTGCAGTACATGAAAATCGGGCACATGACAAATCAGCACATAGATAAAACATCCTAGTGTTCCGTGGTATACATCTTTTCTACGTGACATACCTCCTTTACTTATTACAATGAAATTTTACTGGATTGGTATCCATCACTGGTTTGTTTTTAGCAGAGAATGACCTGTGCATGTTCAGAGAGGGTACCGTTTCAGCAGATTTCGCAAAGAGGGTACCGATATGGATATGCACCGTGTATATTGTTTCTTTGTTGACACTAAAAATTTGGCGACATGCGCTAGCTCGTAGTAAGCGACAGAGCACTGTGGATCTATGTTGTTTTCCAGGCCCGAATGTTGGCCTAGAATTCTCAAGATGTGATTGAAATAAAATTGATACTCTATACCAGGGTTGATTCAGATATTCGTAGAATTTTCATGCATAACCTTTATTTC